CTCTGTGGTTGTAGTTAAGTGAAGACATTCTTTGATGCACAGCAACAGAAAGTATCTTGTGTTTACAATTTAATTTAATATATTAACACCAATTATATGTAAAAATAGCATTTAGCCTTTCGAATACAAGATTTACAACAAATTTTTTAAGGAAAGATCTGTTAAAAAAAATCAAATATTCTTTTCCTAAAACTTTTTTTTTTTGGTAGACCTCAACACTTTATAAAGGATTCAGCATATGGCTCCCATTAACTCAGACTGATGCTTGTTTCAAGCAGCTTTCCTTTGAAATCAAATTACTAGACTTGACTTTCAAATGTTTATGTTCAAAATTAAAAGGAAAACGGTGGAGCCCAGAAAGCAGCTTTCACCAGCTGACTGTATGTTTTATTAAAATACCATCAGCAGCTAGAAGTACATGGTTTCAATTCCATTTCAGCTTCCAGTGGAAAGAAACAACAGTCAAACTTTTTTTTTTTTTTTAAAGAATTATAATAAAATAAAGTTTCCCGGTATTTTCTTATGTACTTCATAGGCATTTTGAAAATGTCTAAGCACATAACAAGTAATTAATGGGATCTGGTCTCTCCTTGATGACAATGGGATTTACATAGATAATTACCCTTTTTAATGGAAGCTATTTAAAAATTAAAAGAGTCAGTTATAAGTAAAATAACCACATGCTTAAATAGCATTTTTCTTCCATGGATCTCAAAGCACTTTACAGAGATGGATAAACAGTATTATTCCTATTTTACAGATGAGACACCACGGCACAAAGAGGTTAAGTGATTACCCCAGGTTACACACAATCAGTAACAGAGCTGGAAATAAGAACCCATGCTTCAGTGTCCTATTCACCAGATTTGCTATACACCATTTAATTCAGTATGTCTGAATCTCATCTGCTTACTTTACTGACAAAAAATATTTTTAGTACAGATCGCACTAATAACAAAACGTTATGAAAGACAAACCTAGACTGCATTCTGCTCTATGCATTAACAACAAAATTGTCAGCTAAGTTCTGACAATAGAATCTTTATTACTGATTAAGCGGTTAGAAAGAACAGAGTTTGAATTTCAGCTCTCTGTCTCAGTTTGCAGGGACAGCAGTTAGAAAAATCATCTTTGACTTATAAATGGAGCCAATTCAATGCATCCATTGAGAGAGAAAAATATGAAAATACTATGATGTTTTTACAGAGTCACTTTTCAGAGTACAACCACACTTTATTATAATTTATACACTTATTTCCTCACATATGGGGAAGAAACCCCCTAAGTGCACTTCTGCAGTGCAGTGAAATGTAAGAAGCCCAAATGTAACCAATTCCTCCCCTTCTCCCCGTCACTCAAAGCTCTTTAACCTTTTGTGGTACAACAGTTTTCTCCAGATAAACTTTAAACATATGATTTTATTAAAAAGGAAATTTCAAGTTATGACATTACAGCCCTTTCATGGTATCTAAATACCACGGGGAGGGTTTGCATTAGAAATGCCTTAGATAGATTCCCATGCCAACAGACTGATATCTTCAGCAGATGATTGTGACTTCACTATGGGATCAAGCAAAAAGAGAAGCTTGTTTGTGATAATGGAGAAAGCTCTTCTTCGAACAAAAGATAGCTAACAGCAGCAGCTGGGGACAGAGAAAATTACAGAGAGAAGAACAAGCTCCTCATATAAATATTCTCTTTTCGAGCTTACCTGAAATCCCGTTTTGAAGGGACACATTTCCAAAATTACTTATTGTGAGCCTAACTGGTTAATACTGGTGGATAAACTGAACAAGTTATACATTTGACAGGGGTTGCATCCTCATCCCTAAATTTCAAGGTGAGTTCAATCATATTATTTCCAGAATAGCCCACGTCATAGGCTAGCAAACAAACATTTAAAAAAGGCCAATTCAAAACAACAATGTGCAAGCACATATCAAATTGCCACTTGAGGCTATATGGCACCTTTTAACCAGATTAAACAATAGTGAGAACTGGAAGAACATGCAGCTTCTGATAGCATTAAAAATGCTAGAAACATTAGATCGATGATGTATTAATATATAAATGAACATATGAGTCAACAGTGTAACGCTGTTGCAAAAAAAGCAAACATCATTCTGGGATGTATTTGCAGGAGTATTGTAAGCAAGACACGAGAAGTAATTCTTCCGCTCTACTCTGCACTGATTAGGCCTCAGCTGGAGTATTGTGTACAGTTGTGGGCGCCACATTTCAGGAAAGATGTGGACAAATTGGAGAAAGTCCAGAGAAGAGCAACAAAAATGTTTAAAGGTCTAGAAAACATAACCTATGAGGGAAGATTGAAAAATTTGGGTTTGTTTAGTCTGGAGAAGAGAAGACTGAGAGGGGACATGATAACAGTTTTCAAGTACATAAAAGGTTGTTACAAGGAGGAGGGTGAAAAATTGTTCTTCATAACCTCTGAGGATAGGACAAGAAGCAATGGGCTTAAATTGCAGCAAGGGCAGTTTAGGTTGGACATTAGGAAAAACTTCCTAACTCTGAGAGTGGTTAAGCACTGGAATAAATTGCCTAGGGAGGTGGTGGAATCTCCATCATTGGGGATTTTTAAGAGCAGTTTGACAAACACCTGTCAGGGATGGTCTAGATAATACTTAGTCCTGCCCTGAGTGCAGGGGACTGGACTAGATGACCTCTCGAGGTCCCTTCCAGTTCTAGGATTCTTTATTTTACTGACCACGACTAAAATTTAAAAAAAAATGTAATTTGCCCAGTCCCAATTAAACACCATGATTGAGCCTTCTTTGTAAGCTGATTTATCATTTTTTTTAAATCACATTTTCAGACTTACTTTACTGATATACACATAACATCAAAATGTAGTATCAAGAGAAGACTGCAACTGGATAGAAAAAAATATTTTAGAAAACAACCAAGCAATTTTCCCTGGTTTAAGAGAAGGCTAAACCTTATTTATTTATGTTTTAAAAGAGCAACCTAATAGTTGGTAAAAATTCCACTGACTACAAAATAAAAAGATATCCCTATGCCTCTAATCAGTTTCACAAACAATGATGGTATATGCTGCTATATGCTTGCTAGCACAATGGGATCCTGGTCAATGACTGGGGCTCTTAGGTCTATGATAATAAAATAATAATAATAATTATTATTATAACAAAATCTTGCACGTATATTTGCTCACCAGCTAGCCAATTTCACACCACCGAAAATGTATGCACACCAAAACATACCTTCTTCTTACCGACATAAGACACTTTCATAATTCAACTAATATTGCAAGAATGCAACTATATGATATGACCATTTAAACTATTTTTGGCCTTGGGAATTACACAGAAATCCCAATGCTGACCTACAGTATGACAAATATTTGCTTCATGTGTTAACGTTCTTAGGGTAGCTTTTGAATGCTGGTAGTGATTAACTCTGTTTCAAGCATGTAAAATGACCTATTCATCCTTTGGACCTGGTTAAAAATGATCCTACAGATGTAACATACCAAATTTCAGTTACTTTGTCAATATGTGCTGAAGTGCCCACAGTTGTCAGACTGGCGCGCGCACGCACACACACACTCAACACATTATGATCTAAATATTTCAATGTATTTTGCTTCATTCATTTACCACAGCCAGCTGACTCCTGACTCCCCAGCCTATGCAATGCTATGATCACAAAGCTTCTATGAAAATCTATGGGACTGTCCCAGAGAATATCAGGAAATTCCTTTTTAATAAAATATATATATAGTGTGCTTTTAAAAAAAAAGCTACCCGAACGATTTTTTCAGTTTCTTTTTTCTGAATTACTATTTTATACTTTCAGCACACAATATGTTAAAAAGGGGATTTACCTGAACCCCTATGCTCCATTACAGTTCTATAGTAGCTGTGATGTCACAACATTGCCAGGGCATTACATCATAGTGGAATCTGGCTGGCTGCAGCAGAGATCAATGCCACAAGACCTGAATAAAAATAAAGCATGCTTTTAAATAATATGTTGAATGCTCACCTCTTACCAAAACTATTGGGGGCCTCCAGACCATAAATGCTAATGCATTACCTGTGCGGGTCATCTTTAAGGAATTCTAGAATACTTGAATCTTCCCATAATTTTGTACGAGAGAGAGATATATAAACATAGCTAAGAATTGTGGGGGGGGGGAATCTCTAAAGAGCTCTGCAAATATACCTCCTACTCAGTGTTATGAAAACTCGTCTTCAAAAATATCTCTTCTTTCACCCTATATTCATGGAACAGTTGGAATCACACTCTACCACCACCCCCTGTTTTGAAGGCACTCACAGTCTTAGTAAAGCAATTCTCCACTGCAATGCCTCAGGATTCTGCAGTGTCACTCCTCTTCTGCCTGGTTCTCTGCAAAGTGAAGTCATAGGAATGGATCAGCCAACCTGCCTTTGCATTACCCTGCCCAGAATCCTTTGTGAACTGAAATGAGTCATCGTTCTGAGAAAAGCTACAGTACAATGTTCCAAGGTTTCTCCGTATGTCTGTGCATGCTTCTTTGTCTTTGCAACGGAATGTCGCTGCTTTTGTAACAGTGCACCGCTGCACTGTACAAGAGTAACAAACCAGTATCCTTACCAAGTGGGCAAAAAAGCCACTTACATGCATTAGCAGAGACGAGTTAAAGCTTTAACTCCTAGACAAGCTACAAAATTTACATCTAGCAGCATCATACAGACACATACATACACACAACATTTGTTTCTAAAATCATTTGCAATTTAGCTCACACACTTACCCGTGTTTACTATAATCACAAAAAATATTTGCTTTCCTTTTCCATGTCTGGAGAAAGCTGCAGACCTATGTGTAATACAGATGGTTCTATTGTACACTGGATCAAAGTTGTGCAGCTGTGAACTGTTCGTCAAAAATTCACATTGGGGAACAAGTCCTTTCAAGCTTATGTCTTGTCATCCCATTCACCAGCTAGGTTCACAATAAAGCGAGCCCTGAAATCATGCCAACGAGCCAGCAGAAATCGTCAAACTGCTCCAAGTGCCGAGAGCCAGCGGAGCTGCTGCTGCTTCTGCTGACAAAGAAGGTAACGTTCAGAATGAGGTCACTGTGTCAACATCTCACTCTCAATGTGAGGCTTCTGTTTGCTCAGTAAGTGCAGGCTAACTTAGGCTGTTTGGGGTGGAGAAGGGTGCATTTATTAGCTTTGAAGAAATGTTTCAATTGTTTTAATTTGGGGGAAATTTTATATCCAACTGTGATTTGTCAAAGAGACAGAAACAATGCACAGGAAGCAGGAAAAACAAAATAAAGGCATTTTGATATGGGTTTTTCTTTAAAGGCGTATTTTATTCTGCATCGAATACAGTGCCCTCACTTTAAAAGTACTTAGGCTCACAGGTCCATAAAATCCTGTAACACTACTCCTTGATAGTCATCAGACCCCATCTACACTGCAGTTACAACTATGAAAGGTAACAGTACAAGACCAAAGTTAAGGTCTTATCAAGGCCTTATCTCAACTAGGAAAACAGGTGTTTGGATATTGTTTGAGTTAGCCACGTAAGGTAGCTTATCCCATTGTAGATTCAGTTGAACACCTTTAAAATCATATTAGCTGATTTGGCTTAATGATGCTAGGGAAAGCCTAGGGCCTACCCTGACCAACTAACAATTTTAAAGGCGTTAAACTAAATCTGCAGTAGTTGCCTACTGGTTTTCCTAATGGGATTAGCTACCTAGAAGTAGATAATTTGATTAAACAACGAACCAAACCAAACATTCTTTTCCTAGTCTTGACAAGAGTCTATACTGCAAATTGTTGTAACCACTGTACCAGGTCATGTGACAACAGTGGTGTAAACTTGGTGTCTTGACACAACTGTAATTATAATGAAGCAGGGGCATCAGAAGGTATTTGAAGCTCGAAGAAATGTATTTTTGCCATAGTTACACCCAGTCATTTTATACAAAAAAAAAAAAAAAAAAAAAAAATCATATCCTGTGGTACTTAGCCAGGAAAACATTCATTGATTTTAAGAGACTTTTGCCTACTCAAGGGCTGCGGAATCAAGCTCAAAGTTTCTAAAAGACAAATGAATCCACCCTGGCAAACTGAATTAAAGAGGTCTCCCAGAATCTTCTTGAAGAAATCTCTGCAGTTAATCCATCAGATCCACATCTATTTTCTAATAAATTCTCTTTATGTTTCTGAAAAGAAAAGCTTACTGTGGGCACTCTTAGAATGGAATTACAGCAGGACATACTGTAACAAAAACAACCAGAGCTTTTTCCTCTAGTTTTCTTTCTTTTTTTTTTTTAAACACACAAATTACTATTTCAATAGTTGAAAGGTACTGAAGTTGAAGAACAAGCCAGGATTTCCACCATCACAAGCAGGTGATATTATTGCAGCATGAGCTAAGAAAAGGAAAGTCCACACAAAATAGTATCAACTGAAGTCCAAATTAGTGAAGTGGTTCAATTATCATGCTCCTCCCTCTCCAACACACACATAGGACAAAGTGATAAGCATTCGGTAATAGCAGCAACAGCTGACAGTATGTATTAAATTGCCATTGTATGGCTGTCTGCCATATCCGACAATGACATCTCATGTTTTCTATTATGGCTGTATAGTCAGATCTGTAAGGAGCAAAGGTTGTGAACAGATGTCACAAAGGAATGTGTAGGCTCCCACTGAAGATTTGTCATGACACTTAGCCCTTTTTTCCACCAGTTTTGCTTGTCTATCATTCTTAAAGAGTTTACAACTTTTATTGATAGTTGCTCTCCATTTAGATCTGTCCTTGGTAACGTCTTCAAAGTTTTCATGAGTTCAGATTCTGTTTAAGGGTATCTTTGAAACATTTATGTTGACCAACCTTCCTGCACATTCTGAGTTTCAGCTCACCATAGAGGGCTTTTTTCGGGAGTGTATCATCATCCATTTCGGTAACGTGACCTGTCCATCTAAGCTGAGCTTTGATAATCATTGCCTCAATGCTGGTTGGTGGTGTTTTTTCAAGGATGTTAATGTTTGACAAATTGTCTTGCCAGAGGAACTTCAGAATAGAACGAAGACAGCACACGTGAAATTTTTCAAACTGCTTGATGTGTCTGAAGTAAACGGTTTACATTTCACATCTGCATAAAAGGGATGCTGTCGCTGCTGCAGTGTATTTCATCCATTTTGTTGACACTGCGATGATATGCTGGTTGCGTATCTTGTGGCGAAGGCTTCCAAAAGCCTGGCTTGCCTTTTGTATTCTGTTTGACATTTCCTGATCTCACTTGAAACAGTACTGCCAAGGTATGTAAAGCAACTGACATTCTTTAGTTTTGTAATATCAGTGCTGATATTTGGCTCAGTGGTGGTGATTGATGCGACTGTTTGGAAGAAGACTTCAGTTTTTTGCCAGGCTGGTGGTGAGTTCAAACTGTTTAGTTGCCTCTGGGACCATGTGAAGAATAAACTTTAGGTCACTTTCACTATGACTAGGTGGAGCACAATCATCCCTAAAAAGGCTTTCACACACGAGTTCCTCACAGATTTTTGTCTTTGCAGTAAGCCTTCAGAAACTAAAGAGACTTCCATCAGTTCTGTCCCTTATGTATATGCCCTTTCGAAGGTTGTCAATTGCATAATTCAGAATGGCTGCAAAGAAGAGTCTAAAGAAGATTGATTCCAGCACACAGCATTGTTTCACCCCATTGTACATGGGGAATGGGTTAGAGAGGCCACCATCTGAGAGTACTTGACCAGTCCTGTCTTCATGGAATTGACGTATGATGCTAACAAATCTATTTTGAGTTGTCTCCTCCCTGATGGTAATCACCTACCCACATAAGCTGGACTAAAGAAAAGAGCCCTTTGTTGATCTTTACCCTAACTTGTACAACACATCCTCCCAGCCAGGGCTCTGAGATTTTATGGCCTTTATCACTGCCCTTCTATCACTAGAGGAAACACAGAGAAGAAAAGGAATATGTTGGACTGCACAAAGAGGAAAAAAATTAAAAATTAAAAAACATCAGTGAAATATGATGGGGAGGTTACCATTATGGATGAGACAATTAAAAATAGATTTGTATCACTTCTACTGCATTCCTACATTTTGAATGCTTAATTCAGCTATTACCACCTAGCATTGGAGTGAGGTGCTGGAGAAATTGCAGCTCTTTTCTTATAACTTCTTTTTGGCCCCAGAGATTCCCAAATCGACTTGCTACCTTGGTCACCTCATCCCCAGAGGGATGCTACCTGCTACATCATAACCCCTACATGCCCCCTCTTCCTCCCAGCATAAACCCCAGTCTCTCCCACCTACAGCCTCATCTCCAGTTTGTTCCTGGACCCTGAGTTTCATTACTTGCTGCTAAGCTCTCCCACTGAAGGCAGCTATCAGTAGCTGATATTAATATCTGATATGCTCTGATAGCTACTATTTCATATCCAATAAGTCTGGAAAAACATCCTTACTTATCACATATCTAAAAAGTGCCATGCAAACAAAGGAAAAATAATCACTAATCCTACCAAACACAAGGCAAAAAAACAACCGATGCCTCACTCACTAACGGTAACAACCTGGAACCATATGAAATGCTGAGGCACTCAGTTGTTAGTCTTAAAAATAGCAGAGTCTGACAAAGAAAGGGGGCACTTCTAGAAATGATTATCATCTCTCCTATGTTTCCTTGACCTCTAAGGGTCTGTCCTCACAGCAAAGAAAAACCCACAGCTGGCCTAGGATTGCCAACCCTCTGGGATTGTTCTGGAGTCTCCAGGAATTAAAGATTAACCTTTAATTAAAGATTGCCATGCGATGAAACCTCCAGGAATATGTACAACCAAAACTGGCAACCCTAGGGTGGCCATGCCAGCTGACTTGGGTTTGCGCCAACTGACTCAGGCTCACAGGGTTCAGGCTGTGGGGCTGTTTCATTGCAGGATAGACGTCCGAGTTTGGGCTGGAGCCCAGGCTCTAGGACCCTGCAGGATGGGAGGATCCCAGAGCTCAGGCTCCAGTCCGAGCCCAGAAGTCTACACAGCAATGAAACAGCCCCAGCTGCAGCCCAAGCCCGAATTGGCTGGCATGGGCCAGTTGCGGGTTTTTCTTTGTTGTGTAGACATATCCTAATAGCTACTTCTCCAAACTGTAGATCATTGACAAGAACTAAGGAAGAGCTATTACAAAATACCCAAGGAATCCTCAACTTTGATGGTAGAGAAAAGGGGTGATCTGCATTGCTCAACAACGACCTCTAAGGAGCGCTAAGCAACAGTGCTGTTGATCTCGAGAAAGAATTCTGTCCATTTCTTTCAGTTGGCAAAAAATGCAAGGGAAGAGGGTCAGGGGAATCATCTGAATTCCAGAGAGGGTAAAGTGGGAGAGGGAGAGAAAGCAACACCAATAGAAAACAACCACTAATCTATACTATGCCAGGCTGTTTTTGAGAAGTTTTATAAAGTACAACAAAAATATCCTTTTGCGAAAAATTTTGGAAACAAACCACTGGAATAAAATGTATGGGCTGGCTTAGCCACACACTGTTCAGTGTCTAATGTATTTCCACTTTGGTTTAGCCAGAACAGATTTTCAGTGCAGCTGAGGATGTTGTAACTAACAGAAAAGCAAGCCTGATAATGATTAAAATTCCTAAAGGTGAGTGATGCCCCTGAATTATCAGGGAGAGGGTTCAAATGAAAGACCAGTGCACTTCCATTTCTAATGACAGTGATAAATGGGAGAATTTTCAGCCAAAAGATGGGGCTGCAGTAGCTATAGCTTTAAAAACAAATAATGATGACTGGTGAATAACTTCAATTCAAAAGGAGAGTCTGCTACACACAGTGAAAAGGATCCCCTTAATGTGCATCCCATGGCACTACAGCAGCCTTTAACAGCCTAGTCTTTCCTATATCGGAGGGAACTGATGAAAAAGCCAGGCATGGAATCAACTAAAATAGAGCCAAAGTGGTTTTAAAAAAATAAAAAAGGTTAGACACTCCAAAGACTTAGCAGTCAAGAGTTTATTAGGTCTTTTTTCCCCTCTGGGTGGAAGGAA